AAAAAAAAAAAAAAAAAAAAAACTGAACCTTACTCACACAAATAAATGTCGCAATAAATGAATAATTAATAGGAAACACTTTTGAATTCCTTGCGTGCTATTGTTTGTAAACAAGTCCCAAAGTGGAGTGAGACAACAAAGGTTTGCTAATCAATCCAAATTTTCAACGATAATGTATTATGTATATAAAAACAGGAAAAAATTCGTATAAGTCTGTGCAATATTGTGTTATTCATGACCTAAACCTCTCCTAGAATGTCATATCATATCCAGCTATCCAGCCAGGTGATGGCGAGCTCGAGATATTACATTCCTACAGTCCCTGAAATTACAAACCATATATACATTAAGTACCGCGTTTCCTGATGAAACCCGTTTGGTATTAGGCGACTTTAAGGCTTACCACGGTCTTTGTCATTGTAGCCTGCCGATCTTAGGATCTCAGAGCTGACTGAATATATACACAATTTGTAATTCTGCACTTTACTTTAACATTGCAGTTGATGGCGTTGAGACGCTTTCGACTGTTAATAACCCTAAGGTTTTAGGTGTGTCCTTTACCGACTTCCTTTCAGAGAATGGCGTACTTGGAGTCAAATCACCACCCTTTGCAGATGAAGAGCTCGATTTGCAGCGAGAACCAAGAGTGACCCTGGCGCACGTTCGTTCTGGATACAGTAGCAATTAAACCCCCACTTATGCAGAGTGAACGAGATATCAAACATATGTCCAGCATGCAATCAGTTTCCCCCATCTCTTTGCATGTCCAGCTAACCCTACACATCTGACAGCCTCCCTTTGGTCCAACCCTGCACGTTTCTCGGCATACCGTCGGATGACCTCAATGACAACTTATCTGAACCTTACCAGCCTAACGGGGACTAGATAACCGTTCGATAATAACATAACCTATGCTAACTCTTGCATCACATCATTTGTCCCATATTATCTCGATCAAGAAACCTCCTGAATTTATTTGTGTGGACAATCGCACCTTTGTTAACGACAACAAAGCCAACTGGGCCTGCTTCACCATTTCTACAATCGCTGCTGCTGCTGATCTTTTCATCCTTGCTAGAAGAATTGAAAAACTATAAATCTTAGCGAATGAGCACAACAACTTACACACGTAAGAGATGTTAATTTGCAGGTTAGGCAAGTGGTAAATCTCTAAAAGTGTACGAAGTGGATGGACCAATCTACGTATACAGAAGCGGATAAGGCAAAAGACGTACATATGTATTATGACAAAAGAGTTTGCACCATTTACGAGGTGAAATCCTTGTTGGAGAAAATGTAAATTTCCACGACAATTCTCGTTCCTTCACTGCTGGAGCCTATTTCAGTCGATGGCACCACAAAGGTTCTAGGTGTTACAATCGACCGCTTGAATTTTTACACTCTTCATAAGACCGCGTCCGGCAGCATCTGACACCAGGATCTCCACATTACAGAATTCCTCTAACAGAACATTTACATGTCAGATCAAACTAATCGCCATGTTTCCCTGCTCATAGACTTTCTGTTCCTGTACCTTCCGTTAAGTGGCTTTGATTACAGTTAATTTTGAGCTCTCCTCAAACATGCTACCAGGCAATTTTAAAGAAAAAAAAATGTATCAGTTTGTATGGCAACTACATATATGTATGTATGCTTTGGTAGTCCGTTTTCGGCGGTTCCCACAAATCAGCATTAGGGACTTTATACCATTACCACGACAGTCGGGTCTACGTAAACGAAACGGAATAAGGAAAATTACATTTCTTTTGTCTTTTAATTTTTGAGATTAATATCTCTAATTTTAACATACATGTAAATAGTGGCAAAAATAAATTTTTTTTTTTTTTATCAGAATTACAATAAATTCTTTGTAAAAGTATATGACTTATATACGCGATATTATTGTAAATTTATCTATAAAGTAATTCAGTCCTTTTCTAATTGGATAAAATCTTTGGAAACTTAGCTTTCAGCCCTCATAAGTATTCGCATTTTCCTCCGAGCGACGTCCATAAACTAGTACTTTTGCTTTCACTTTCTTGCATCCAGAGGTTTCTACATCAATTGTGTTCGCAATTTCGTCAAAGTTATCTTTAGTGATAATTAGATTTTCAGTATGTATTTCGCGGTATATACACTCCCTCAAATCCTTTTTATTTAATCTCTTGAAATTTATTATGGTTGTATTAGGTAAATGTTGCAAAGTATTTTCCTGTTGCTGATACGAATTTGAATCCAGCATTGCGTTTAAATTAAATATATAAATCACGATGACGCGCTTATTACTTGCGTCATCTTGAGATGCTATCATTTGATTCAATAGTGGGACTATCGCGTCATCACATGTCAAAAGGTTATCAACTATTAATAAATTACTGCCACAATCAGAAAACTGCTCTACATAAAGTCGTAACATGCGAAATTTCTGTACTTCATTTTCAACATGTGTATTCCAAGCATATGTCCAAACATTTTCACGCCATGGAAAATTTGCCGCTAAAGCACTTGCTGTCATAGTTTTTCCAACACCCGATGGTCCTACTATTGCAATGGAGTGAAACTGTGTTTGATTCCTTAGAGTGCTTTCCAATTGTTGCAAAGCTTGCTCTTGATGCAGAATTGTATATTTACGCACACCTGACATCATGGATTGAACATTTAATAATGTTTCACAATAGTGTGGTTTCCCATGTACAATTTGATGGTACTGTCGTCGATAACTAGTTAAAAAATCTTTGAATATTGTAGATTTCTTAGCATTGCTACGTGTGAGATGATGTCCTAATATAACTGCAGCGGCTGCCGACAAGAATAATGTAATAAACAGAGCGCGTTTGAGTTTTCGTAAGAAAATGCGATTTTTGGACTCCTGTTTCTTTTTACGCTTTTCATCTGCAGGACTACTGGCCAGCCGACGAATTCTCAACCTTTTACGACTTCTGCCGACCTATTATAAGATATAATGAAATAATAAAAGATTACAATAAACGAATGATCACATCTTACGGGTAATATTTTATCTTCACTCAACATTGAAGCTTGTCTGCTAATTCTTAATGTTGTTTACTATATTTCAACGAGAAATTTAGACAAAGTTAACAAAAATTATAAGCACATATGATAGAAATTATAACTGTCACATTTGTCATCCTCAAATCATGGTTTTTAAAAATTAAAAAAAAAGACATGCCAAACCGGCAAAATACTACTTGCTTTTTTTGCCACTTATCCAGAGTTGCAGGCATTTAACATATCTGTTCTCGTACAAAATACCTCGTTCACATTTTTTTTAACGTTTTGAACAATTGAGTTAGGAAAATATTGGAAACACCTTAAAATTCATATATTCGTTATCACGATCGAATCGAAGCAATGTGAATGTAATATTCATTTCCCTTTTTTTTTAATTATAAACAGATCCTTCCTCATATTAATTATAATTATGAAAATTTTATTTTATTTCGATCGAAATTTTTGCAAAAGTGACCCAAATAAGTAACGAAATGAATGTTGATATAATATTTGCCTGTAGTTGTCTAAAGCCGTTTTCTAAATTTTCTGTTGGTTTAGTTCTAGTTAACTTAGCCAAGACTCCTTCGTCGCTAAATAACCTATCTTTAACTAGAACTTAATTGACAGATGGCTATGACCAGACAATGAGAAAACGGTCCTAAAAATTTTTTTTGACAAATAGTAAGAGTAAATAAATCAGTTCCGAAAATGCATTAGTACATAAAAGAGATTATTCACTCTCTCTGTTCTCCTCAAACATTTTGATCAATATATTTTAAATTGTTCTGCTTCTATAGCTCAAAGCCCGACGTTATTTCGCAAAGGTTTTTACCAAGATGTTTAAATAAATATATTCCCAATCTCAATGACAATAAGTTCGAAAATTGATTGGCAATATTATTATTGCTGTTTTGAGATGCAGCGTTATGAATTTATAAGCAAACGAAAAATGAGAACAGTGCATAAGGAAATATACAAATGTCAAAAAGAAGCGTAATTCTGTAAAAACAAACAATTCGCACATGAGTGAAAATAAACAAATTGTGTAAAAGTAAGAAGGAACTTATAAATGAAATATAAATTAACTGAAAGCACAATTATTTAAAACAATATGGAAATGTGAGTATTTTTGTCAGAAAATAAGTTGTTGTTGTTTTTTTTAACGGTTATCAGTCCCCGTTGGGATGGTGAGGGTTATCAGTGTTGTCGTCGATGTCAGAAAATAAGTCATATTTCATCCTTCGCAGTGTGAATCCCTGTTTTTCGGTGTTGTCCAATTACGAAGTGATGGAGTCTCTGAAAACACTTAAGGACACTAAGAAAAAATATGGACTACGAAACCTGGCAACAATAACATACGAAGTATTTTTGAAATACATATAAAAGCTATTTATTATGCTAAACAATTTATTTTTTTGTAGACTTTGCAATACTTGGAAGACTCGCCGTGTAAACAAGAATCGCGTGAAAGTATTCATGCATTTTTAACAGAAGTAAAAAACTTAAGCTGTAAGTTAACAACAACAGAATGTTTAATGATGGTCAACGATCCCCCAACGAGTGCTCTACATATTCAACTGGTAAATACTAGTTTAACCGTCATGATTTAGTAGTAATTTTCTTTTTCAATATTCAGCTTATTGAGGACAGTGAGGAACGCTTATCCGAAGAGCAAGTGAACGAAATTCTGCAAATTGTTGCTAAACATTTTCCTAACACTCCAACCGAAAATACTTAATATAAAAATAAAGCCAATTGTTTTATACAAAGTTGACATAAGTATTATTTGTTATTAGAAATGCAAAAGAGCGCAGCCAAAATATTATAACTTATCGTTTCTGGTCGCCTAAGTCATCAATATAATCTTCATCAATCTCGGGCCACTTCTCAGGTATTACATCGAAGAGATCGTCCTTTACATCTCCTTGAATAACAATTTCATCCTCACCAGTAACAGATGAGCCGCATGCGAATTTTGTGCCAAAAAACTTTGCAGCAACTTTTAGGTCAATGTCTATCAAATATGAAAAAAGGGCTACTTTATTATCCCTAAAAAAATTGAAAGGAAACCCATTCATTTACCGAAAGTATTTAAGCCGGTCACGACAGTTACGGACTTCTTTTTGCCACGCGGAGCTCTCGAAACTGTAATCTTCTTGGGCACATCCTCCTTTTTTTTAATCTTCATCATACCCTTACCTCCGCGTTTTTGTCTTTTCTTGTCATCATCTGTACCGTCAGCACCGGACGCTTCATCTTTAATTTTCATTTGTTCAAATTCGCTTGGAAGATGTTTTTCAAGCCAAGCACGGCATTTTTCGAATTCGGGATAGTATTCACAATACTTATAGAAATAATAACAAATTAAATAAATTCTATAATAAAATTCTATCGACTTACTTCGAGTGGCATTGTGCAGTTACCACAATATTGCACCACCAAAGGGTATGTCACTCCCTCTCGTGGTCCTAACTTTAAACGCTCTGCTGGATTTATTGCTGCTGTTTCTGCTGCCATTTTAAAGAGTTTTTAGAACTTTTAAATCAATATAATTTATTTTAATATATCAATCTAGAAATGTGTGAATTGATTGTGAACGCGTCACAGCTGATTCCAATTTTGACAACTCTGCAAAAATGCAAATACAAAATTGACAGCAAAAATTGGTTTGGCACCAAACTAACAATTTGGTTTGCATCTAGAATGCGCAGGATATATAACCTTTTAAAAAACTTGTAAATGTCATAGAAATTACATTAATTTATTGTTTATAGTAATGGAACCAGTTATTATTCTAATTCCGATTTTTACAAGGTCTAATCATAATATTCCTGCTATCATATGCATATTGTCTATTTTACTTTTTAAATAATTTTTTGATAAATCTTTTTCATTTTATGTGGCAAGTTCCATCGTGCGAAGCAGTTGAAAAAGTAATTGGAAACACAGGTAATTGGAAAAATAAGCTGCTGGTTAAGGAAAAAATTGCTGGCAGTGAAGGTTTATGTGCAATAAATAAAGAGTTTTTATTAAAAATACATAAAAATTGTGCTGGATAATAAAGATATAAATAAAATAATTGTGAAAGTAAGCGTTTAAATAAATTATTTTTAATAAATTATCTTTCGTTGTATCTTTGACTGCCAAAGAACGGTCATAATTACATACATACAGATTTCGCAGACGTTTTCAATTTATTGATTTTCTTACGTTCGGTTAATGTAGTCAATTTAAAAAAGAAAATATTAAGAATTTCGCTGTGATTCTATCTGAATAGGATTTGTATGCGCCTTACGTACAAGTGGTTCAGTGAATTCATAAATTTTTAATGCAGCAAAAATTAAAAGATCACCGTCTGCTCCAAATCAGCTATTAGCAAGGAAGTCGACAACTTATATACCAAAAGCAGCAGTGCAATGGTTTGAGGTGTTGCTGCATTAGGAGCTAAACAACAATATGTTAATAATTCTCATGCCCACTAAAATAAAATTATGGAGAAATAATTGTGGAAACTATTCGAACGATTCGTCATAATGTCGGCGTGTTTTATATATTTAGGGTTGGGATGCTGGGTTCGTGCAATGTGTCATTATGTATAAAATAACTGACTGTGTCTGTCATGTATCATTTTATGAATGGGTTGTTGTTTATGTTACGGCGCAGACTATTTAGGAAATTATAATCTTTAAGATTTTAGAAGCTAAGTGCGTGAATAAGAGAAATATCCGAATTTTGAATTGCGATGTTGTCATTGGTCTTGTAGGTTATATGTACGCAATAATTCTCTCGTCGCATAATCGCAACCAAAGTGTTTGGATTTGTTATAATATATATAATAAATAAATAGCAATAGTGGAACAATATAATGTCAATGAACTTTTCAAAACAATTAACTGCATTTGCTTTGTCTTACTAGATGATGTAGATTCACCACCAAAATGCTTGCTATACGTAAATGGAACATTTGGAGAAAAAGCAAATATCACTGCAAATAAAGCAACTAAATGTTACACGAATGGTAGGACAATAAAATACTGATATATCCGTCGAATAAGTTCAAATAACCAATACACTCAGTTTCGTTGCTTTTGAAAAGCTACATCAAGCCAAAGCCAAGTGCACCGGCAATAAACAAAGAAAATATATGTAAATGCAAACAAAGAAAAAACTAATTTTTTCTTAGAAAAGGAAATTAAAATGAACTCCGAAAGTAGCGAATTGGAGTCATCTAACAATGGTTGCGTTATATTCCACACCGCCGCTCAAAACGCCAGTACAATGGGTTCATCATCTGGAGTTCATATGACAAGTTCTAATGTGAACGTCAACAATTCAAATGCTAACCTAAATAACGCAATGGGTTCTATAGGAGGAATTGCTCGTACATGCGCATCAACAGATGTTAGCAATCAAACGAATCTAAATAGCGAAATGGTTGCACCGCCGGAAGGAATTGTTGGTACGTTCAGTGAAAAACCGCAAGAGCGGTACGTGTGGGAAATGCGCACGCGAAGTCCAAATGTTACACCAGCTAGCACTGTTCTTAATTCTCCTGACTTGAATACGGATGTGCAATATGCATTGCATCATCAGCATCGACAGCATCATCATCAGATAAGAGTAGGCCGTAGCCCGGGTAGTCAATTTGAACAGCAGAATGTAATGCCACAAGTAAGCGGAAATTGTTACACATCTACGAAAATTCAAAACTAATTTCTATTGTTTATTGCAGGGTCTAGCCAGCCCAGGAGGGTCACCTACGGATGTCGGTAAAGTTGGTGCTCAATGTTTGCGCGATGGTGAAATAGTGGTATTCGATGATATTGACACTAATTGGATGAATAAAACCAATACTTCCGGGTTTTCAAATACCATTAATAGCTCAATACAGCATACGAACAGTGTTCCAGAAGGCTACACCTCGGTGCATCATCAACACAATAATGAGGATATTTTGAAGGTCACGAAAATGATAGGCCAGCTACCAATTGCCGAGTATGAAGGTTCCCCACGTCGCTTTGGCAATCAACCACTAGGCACCACCAAGCAGACAGGCACTTGCGCCCTACCCAAACGTCCGCCAGGTTTTCCACAACGCGTGTCACCAATTGCAGGTTCACAGCAATACGCCTCCATGCAACAACAACTAATGCAACAGGAGGTTAATTCACGTTCGACACAATGTGCACAACGGCTTTTGCAGCAGCAACAGCAGCATTATTATTCGACCACACCGACGTCATTAATTGGATTGAATAACTGTCGTGATAATAAATCAGTTGGCAATTTAATTGACATCGACGAAAGGAGTACACCCGGTATTGATGGGGCTCAGGTCAAAACGCCAGCTTTTGATTACTTGTATGAGTGTTCGGAAACGCGAAAAGTGCTCGAGGACTTCTTTAAAGCGAATTCAGAGGACGAAAAACGTTTTACCGACTACACTGAAAGTGGCGATGACGTGGGAAGTTGTGTATGTCATTTTTGAACTGTGCAAATTGCGCAACAATAAATTAAATACACTTGTATTCATATCTATATTTCAACCAGGATACCCATATGGAATACGAACAAGAGCGCGAACGTGAGCGGGAAGAGGGAAAACATATGGAACAGGCGTATATAGGACAACGCTTAGCTAGAATACCCAAAGAGGAATTAAATATGATTCACCGTTCGCCTCGCAAGCAAGTGAGTATGGTCTAGACGTAAATAGAAAATAAACATTATTGTTTATATTGAATTAGAAACGTCCGTTTTGAGGATAAAAAGACGTAAATTATTGTAAATATAATAACTGTTGTTAGGTTAGGTTAATTTGGTAGGCGAATGAGCGATACCAGATGGAGCGGTTTTCGACTATTTGAACGATCGTTCCCAAGCGCCTGAGAACCCTTTGCTAATTATCGAATCAATCGAAAAGTATTTTTCAGCTTTACTTTAAATTAGTATATTTCGAAGATATTATATGTATTTAAGTATGAAAAGAATTTGGATTTTTTGAAAATTCTGACTACTTCTAACCCCTTAAAATTATTTCAAATCGCTTGCATAAAATCGTTGCTAGTTCTCTCACAAATAAGCAAGCATGTCACAGCGAAAACGTTTTATATCAATATTTGTCTAACTTATCTAATTAATCTCTCTGGTCTCCTAATTTACAGCCCTGTGAGTCGGTTTACAATGAAAACAACGACATTGAGTTGTACATAGATTCAAATAGTCGAAGCAGTGGAGATTTGGCCGACACAGAATTGGAAGCAAATCTACGCCGCCATTCGCGCAATTTTACTCTTTCGCCTGAGACCACTGATTACGACTCAAATTGCGGTGATCTCGATAGTTTGTCAAACGACATCAATTGCCCCACGGACTATGGCAAATTGTACACCAGCATGCCGGTACTAGAGGACGGTTTGTCGAGCGGCCACGCCTCAGATACGGAAAATAATGTTAATACCGCCGTAGAGAATGAAAAACAAATATTTGACAGCGGCTGTGCGGAGAATTGCCCGACGCAGTCACAAGCGCATCAATATCAAGTACAACCGCAACAACACAAGCTCCCTACAATGCTGCAAAATAATGAGTATAACGCGAGTTTCTCACACGAGTGCCATGATAGTTGCATGTCAAACACTTTAGGGAATACTATTCCGATGGATGGCCATTTAATAAACGATTTAAGTGATGTTCCTGAAAATATTATTCAACAACAACAACAACAGCAACAACTACAACAAACACATCAGCCAGATCAGCAGTTGTGCAGTC